GGGGGCGGGCGAGGAAAGGCCACTGGTTGCTTCCAAAAGCAGGTTTTAAATCTCCACACGCTGAGTGTTGAACAAAATTCTGCCTTACTCTGCCCTTTTTTGGGGGGGTCTTTCTCCACCGCCACGTCGTCAAATCGCCCTGCTGAGCAGGCTGCTTGAGGCAACACCATTTCTTATTAAAAGTACAGAAAATGCTTGGGTTACAGCCCAAAAATTCCCCTCAAGGGGAAAGAACTGATTTAAAAGTGTGGTGCAGAAAAAAAAAGGGATCGAAGCTCTTTTTTTTTTTTTTTTTTTTCTGGTAAATGGCGATAAATTAAGTCCTGCAAGGATTCCTACCCGGGCTGCGTTGTTTAGTGTATCTAAAATTCATCAAGGTAAAAGGCTGGTTAGAAAGTGACTCAGATGAGGAGGAAAAAAAGAGAAACTACAGGAAAATCTTCATGGCGCTGAGTAATAGGAGTTCGAACTGGGACGATGTGCACAGATTTTTAAGGAAACTGCAAATACATATATTAAAAAAAAAAAAGAGGGGCTCTGTGCTGGTTGTTGCTGCTTAGGAATGAGTGCTTGGAGGGGGGCAGTTCAGTGAAAATAGCAATAGGAGTCAGAAAAGTGGATAAAATGTTAGAAATTATTTCAAAGTGAAGCTGGTTAAAGCTTTTCCTGTGGATATCTGGGTTGTTTTCCATGTCTTGCGTACTGGATCTCAGATCCTCCCCATCTCCACGTAAAAAAAGAAGAAAGGAAAACTAGAAGGTGTTCCCCCCAAATTACAAGGAAAAAGGGAAGACTGAATTTCTGCTTTAAAAAGGTAGTTTAAAATGTTTAGTGAGGAGAGGAGAGGTGATGCAGGTTCTTCATCAAGCAGATGGTGGTCAAAAATAAACCCACTTCCCTGTGTGATCACGTTTCTCTTCTGGGAATACTTGATTTTAGGTGCAAAGGAAGACAAAAAAAGGATCAAATGCATTTCTTTGGCCTCAAATTTGTGTCTTAAATGCTGGAGTTTTGTTTTTTTCCTAGAATCATTAAGGTTGGAAAAGACCTCTAGCATCATCAAGTCCAACCATCATCCCAGCACTACTGTGACCACTAAACCATGTCCCCAGGTGCCACATCTACATGGTTTCTGAAGCCCTCCAGGGCTGGGGACTCCACCCCCACCCCGGGCAGCCTGGGCCAATGCCTCACCACTCTGGCAGGGAAGAAATTCTTCCTAATATCCAAGGGAAAGCTCCTCTGGGGCAACTTCAGCCCATTGTCCCTCATCCTGTCCTCTCTGTCCTGGAGCTGATGGGTCCAGCCTTTTTACAAGGCAAGGATCATTCTCTGGCTTCCTGATAAATGGCAGCGAGCGTACGGAGCGGGAGCGAACTGTCAATTCCTGGGTTTGTTTCACCTACCCAGCAAACCAACATAGCTGCCTAGCTGTGTCTGGCAGCTATGATCCTATTTTTATTCCCTCTCTTGGGAGTTGCTAGTTGTCCTTTCTGATTATTTTCTGGAACAGATCTTCCAGAAACCTTGCCTGCTGTATTTAATTCTCCTCTTTTCTGCCTTTTCAGGTTTCTTCGTTGCCAGCAGCTACAGGACCTCTAAAACCCTATCCTAAAAAAGGTTTGTTTGAAGATACAATTGTGTTCCTTGGGCAGGTTGGTTTTAAGGTGTTGTTTTATATCGTGTGTCACTGTCTCTAAGAAGTAAACGTCCAGTGGGGAATTACGAGACTCCAGACTCCCAAGGCTGAGTAAAGTTCTTTTTTCTAGGACTCTTTCTAGTTGACTTATTCTACCTATCAGCCTGCATCATACAATCATGGGACGGTTTGGGTTGGAAGGGACTTTAAAGGTCATTTAGTCCAGACTCCTGCAGTGAGCAGGAACATCCCCAGCTTGAGAAGGTTGCTCGGAGCCTCATCAAGCCTGACCTTGAGTGTCTCCAGGCATGGGGCCTCCACCACCTCCATGGGCAGCCTGCACAAACGTGTGTATGTGGCACTTCAGGACATGGTTTAGTGCTCCTGGTAGTGTTTGGCTGATGGCTGGGCTTGATGACCTTAGAGGTCTTTTCCAGCCTTAATGATTCTAAATCTGAGGCTGAGCAAAGAATTGGTGCAGAATATAGCCAGGCTGTGACTGCTGTAACTGCTGTAACTCTGTTTTGTGTCTCTTCGGGTAAACTGAGGCACGTGCAGTATCTGGCGTGCCTCAGGTGGCTCTGAAATGAAAAGCCTGGAAGCTTCTGTGCTTTGTCCTTTCACATGTGAGCATGCTGCTTTCCGTGCAGGGGGAGAAAGCTGATCTGAGCTGCCTGCTCCTTAATCGCTGGGAAACAAGGGCAGCGAAGGGATTTGTGGTCGGGAGTGATGTAACAGGGTCCTTGGTGCGTGGGTGTGGTGCAGGGGGCACGTAGGAGAGGAGGGCAGGGAGTGGAGGTGGTGCTCTGGGGGCTTCTGTTGAGCTGGGCAGGACAGGAGAGCATCTTTTTTCCCATGACAGGATGAGAAACCTATTTGAAAATTACTTTAAATAGGTTTTTCCTAGAACATCTTAATGAAATTAAGTCTGGTGGAGATCCATGGATCTCCAGCAGTCCCAGAATATGAAACGTGTTCCTCGCAGGGGTGCTTCCATCATCCCCAGGGAGAAAATGGAAACCTTGAACCAGCATTTAGCTACCTGATTTGGTAGCTTTTAAACAAGAACTTGGAGTTAGGAGGCAGAATTTGCTCTTAAATTAGGGCTGATCCATCGTGTGGCTTTCAGGCAGGTCTGTGTTGGGACAGGTCAGCCCAGAGGGAAGGTGGTGTGAGTTCAACAGACGTGGGAAGGTCTGGAGAGGACCCTGGTGTGCTGGGGAAAGGTGCTGGGCGTTCAGGTGAGAAATCTCTATGCCTAGCAATCTAAATGTAAGGCTCTGGTGGAAGTAGCTTGTAGCTGTGCTTGGTGACAACCGTTCTTCAGCAGCTGAAATGTTCATAGCTCAAACCATTCATTACTTTGTCCTCTGCCCCCGTGGGGAGAGCTGCTCTGAGAATCAGTTCCCTTTGTTGCTACATGAAGATCCATAACTCGCCCCGTGTTGGTGTTTTGTCCCCGAGCAGTGGAGGGGAGAAGAAAGGGAGCTCTGTTCCTTCAAGGGCTGTAAAGTTAATATCAGCCTGTGGAGGTGGGGTCTTCATCTCCCTGCTGCATTTGAAATTAATCAGATCTTCTCCTAAAGGCTTTACTGGGCTTAAGTTGAGGTAGGCTGCCCCCCTTCTTCCCTCTTCCCTTCTGCCACATGGGCCAATTGAGTCATTTTGTGGTATCTGATAATGCTGTAGAGGAGAAGTGCTTATATCCACTGATGGTGTCGATTTTTGTGGAACATAACCTGAATTTATTTCACTTTATCATGGAAAAAAGTATTTAGAAAGGAAATTGTGGGCTTGTCTTTGTCTAATAACAGTTTAGAGGTTAATGGGACATTTTTAAACACGTTTGGATTTCCCCACAAATATTAGAGCTGGGATTTTCTGAGTTTCAGTGATGGCTTTTTAACAACAGGGTGGAATCCTAAATATTTATCTACAATAATGAAGGCATCGAAGCAAAAGAAAGTAGATTTCACTTGAGTCACTGCAGAGAATTTGGGTGAGAAATCCATTAGGCTGTGAAGAAGGAGAATTCTGAATTGTTACCAGCCACCTCTACGTTTCCCCAAGGAAGGGTCAGGTAAATAATTTTCAGCGGGAGAATCTTCTCTGTGTGAATCATGGGAATATTAGCAGGGATTAAATGTTCTCTCCAGTCTGGAGCACTGGGATAGTTTTGGGATGCTTTGAGGTGTATTTTTTCCTAGAGTTTGAAACAACTCTTCAGGGCTTGTGAGTCTTCATCTTAGGGGTTTTTTTTAGGTGAGTTCCACTTCTGTCTTGTATAATTACATGTGTGAGTAGGAAAAATATCTTGTGGGTCATTGAAAGGGTGGAAATGAAATTCTCTCTGCTTTTATTACATTCTCCATTTCAGAGACAAAGGAACTGACAGCCCCAAGATTTAAACATCTGATGGAGTGGGTTTATCAGTGATAAACACTCGCTGCTCAGCATCCCTCTACACAGTAATAGCAAAGAGTGATTAGATTTGGCTATTGCAGATAAACGAAAGACTAGAAATAGGCAAGTGTACAAAGTAAAAGTGTTTTAGAGCTGAGGTTGTGGTTCTGAAACTTGGTGGTAATGAGGGTGGTTCAAAGTTACACCCTGACAGGGCGTTTTGCATCTTACAGGGGAAGTTTATTGAGTTTTATTGAATGTTTAATTGAATTTTGAAATAGTGTCAAGCAGCACATGTTATTCTTAGCCACCTAAATCCCCTGCTCTCATATTTAGCTCAAATATAAGAAATAACTTCCCGTGGTGGTTTGATGGGCAGTACAGCTCGTGGTGATGGTTAGGAGGTGCTCATGATGATCCCTCCTGCTCCCACCAATATTTTGAGAGATCCTGTCAGGATCTGAGTGGCTCAAGAGCTCTGAAGAGCAGGAACTTTCTGCTGCCCCAAGGAGTTGATTCTGCAAGCTTACAGAGCCAGGCATTTCTGAATTCCTGATAGGAAACCATTCTTCCAGCTGGCTTCAAAGCTGCTTTTCAACCTGGGAGAGCAAAGCTGCCTGAAAAATCCAGATAAAAACCAAGCCCATTGAGTTAAATGAATTAATACTTTTTAAGCGTGTCAAAAAGAAAAGGCACTTGTGTCGTGGCTGGGGGGGGAGCAAATGCAGTTCCTGTATCACCACGAACCAGTTGGCTTCCCTTTGGCCTTGTGCAAGCCAAGCTCTTTTAGCCCTTTTGAACCCCCAACCTTGAGGGTTGAAAATGGTTTCTAAACAACATGGATTAGTTGGTAATGGCATCGTTGTTTTAGGTTAAAACCAGAGAATTTGGTGTTTTCATCCCTCTGCAGGGCCGTGTGTGTTTTGTTCAGGATCCGATGCAGCTGTTAGTCTTCACTAGGGAGATGAAAAAGAAATGCTTGTTTTGGGGTAATTAATTGTATAATATACGTCACTTTATCCTCTTTTCCCCAAAATAACAGCTCAGTAATCCCTGCAGCACAGAGCACTGGTACTGTTGAAGCGTCAGTGTGCCGGCCCAGCTCTGACCTCTCGTGTGGGTACATCAACAGCTGTGATTCCAGGAACAGGGAATCCTCTGTGGACAGACAGCATAGCAGTGGGTGTTTTTCTGTCCTGGCTGTAAAATGTTAGGACTCGATTTTAAATCAGAAGATTTGTCATTTCTCTTCTGGTTTTATGTCTTTTGGCACTTGTCGACTTACTTTGTTTCCTCTCGATAAAGAGGGAAAATCTTTATCTGCTGCTGAAGCCTGTCACAAAATTAATTAGGCAATGAAAAATGCCACCTCTTGTAGAAAGCAACTTTAATCTGAATGTCTTTTGATAATTTGATCATTAAGAAATACATTGGCCTGGATAGGGATCAGGAGGAGGGTGAAGTACGATAGCGCAGCTTCCCAGGCCCTGACTGTACAATCGCAGCATAGCATTAAAAACATCTAAATTGGTTTGAAAATACAAGTTTCTTTTGTATTTTAAAGCATTCGACTTCACGTTTGTCTGTGGGCGTGCTGATTGCAGATGAAATGGCAGGTCCTATTGGGAATTGAAAAATAATCTAATAAAAATAGTAACAGATTTAGGAAGGACAAGGTTTATCTTTGTGAATCGAGATGCCTCTGGTGTAGAACAAGTCCCAGCAGCTCACCTGTGCTCCCAATGGAGTTGGTGGGGAGTCCACCTGATGTCATTCCTCTGGCTGCTCCCTGAGGATGCAGATTCCTCTCCTTCACCTTAAAGACAGCCCATGGACAGTAACTCACATCTCTTAATTTTCAGGCACTTAGATTAAAGGAGATGCGTCCCACTCCAGGATGTCAGAATTCATGTTGTCTGTGAAACTTGAATTGGAGCCTTTGGGTCTTGAGGGACATGGTTGCACATTGGCTTAGGCCAGCTCTCCAACATCATCCGTGGCATGGGAATGATGGGGCTTGTTGGGAAAAAGAACTGCTCACTGAGGGCTTTTTAAATAAAAGAGAGCTCTGCTGTTCATCGTGTAGCCAGTTGTCAGGTTGATCTTCATCTGTCAAATCCCACGGATGAATGCCCTGGTGCTGCAAGCTCCTTCCTTCTGTGTCATACTCAAACCATCCATTACATGTTAAAAGTCTCTGAAGAGACAATACTTGCTTGGCAAAAGAACATTTTGGGTTCTCCAGTGCTTGAGATCTTGCCTTTTCAGTTAGTGGGCACATATACAGCAACATTTCCCTAGCCAGAGCCTGGCTGCTGCCAGGATATACCCACTCTCACATCTTCACAGCCAAAAATAAAGGGTGGGTGTGCAGTGGGTGCCTTCAGCGCCTTCAGTGGAAGCCTGGGTAGGTGACACCTCCATCCTTGCAACAGCAATCGGAGTGAGGTTTCTGGTCTCGTGACCAACTTTACATCTCTTCAGAAAGAGACTCTTCACTCACTCCTTCCAGGCTCTGTCCTTTTTGCCACGGACATTTTAAGCTGCATAACAGATGCTGTAGATTTAGTAACTCTTT